GGTAACACGGTCCCTTAGGAGGGCGGTGTCGAACTATATATGCTATAGTCTGTTTAGGCTGTAGTGGGGTAGTCAATATGGGGTACAACACTTTAGGGTTTCCTACTTGTACTCCTCATGCTGCTCAATGCCATCATTCCTCGTTTTCATTCTCACAGGCGGTCGGGTGTATGGACGGCGTTGATCGTGGCCCGATGGGTCTGGCCACGAAAGCGGTTTCCCTCCCGAGAAGCTGCTCTCGCGTACTGCATCAGCGCATCTGTAGACTCCGCCAGCCGTACTGCTGCAAGAAATGACGTCGGGCGGCCCCTACGAACCTCGTACAGTATCTCGTATTTGAGGCCGCTGATGTACTTATCTAACCGCTCGGCTTCCGACATGTCATCAACTTGGTCGGCGAGGCCCATAAATGACGCCGTGTAGTCTTGGACAGAAGCCATCTGCGACCATGCACGCAGCTTCATGCGAGCTTGCTCCGAGGCGGATACGTGCTCGAAGCGATCTCGTAAGGTTGCGCCCCACTCCTTCCATGTGCATATCGTGGTCACTCCGAAGATTGATTGTGCCACTTGATTAGTCACTGTTGAGGTCCCGTCTGCCGCATGCGTCACACTTGTCGGCGTCCCTGTTTCCAAGGTTCGGCGCCACCACTCAAGCGCTGCACCTCGAAGAAGCGAAACCGCGTAATTAATACGCGTGGCGTCGTCATTAACTCCGGCTGCAGTAAAAAAGACCTCGACCCCGAACAGCCACCCTTTTACCGTAACCGTCTTGTCCGTAGGGTTAAACGGGGGCGGGTTAACGGGCTTGATCTTGATCGTCGTTCCTGCAACTGGCGCTGCTGCCGCTCGCTGCCTGTCCTCCTCTTCGAAGTCACGTGTGAGCGCATCCAGCGGATTGCTCATCGCCTGACTGTTGCCCTCGCCTTCGTCCACAGGCGACTCCTGACGCGCTTCACCTCGCGTCTGGCGTAGCTCGGCGTTTTCCTCTCGCAGTGTTGTCACTTCCGCCATTAATGTCCTCATGCTCACCTGCATTTCTGCCACTTGCGCCATCATCCTGTTAGCCGCCTCCTGATCCATGTGCCTAGCGCTACATCTGGTGGGCAGGGTCTCCGTGGCCTTCAGGCAAGTGAAAACACGAACTATCGGAGTCGGGCAGGATTGAATTAACAATCCCTGCAGCCAACCGTCGTGTAGTCACTAAACCAGCCACACCCTATGCCACCAAACTACCCTCGGAAAAGCGGGGTGAACTAGGAAAGTAGCTCTGATACCAGGTGTTATGAGTTGTAAAAGAGAGTGCGCAGGTAAACGAATAACGAGACTGTGGCTGAATCAACTGAGAATACAATGAATACATAGACTAATGTAGGGCTAGCCTAGCTAGGAGGAAACCTCGGACGAGCGAGGTTGGGTGCAGGTTTGGCGATGGAAATGCCGAAGGCGACGCGAGGAGCCTCGGCAGCGTTGAAATCGGCCGAACGTGCGAACCCCGAAAATCGGGTTGTACGCGAAGCAGTCAACCCCGATAAGGAATTCGGGAAAATTCCTTACATAGGTGAAGTTACGGACAACAAAAAGTACTTTAGGTATCATTTGAAGGCCTGGAAAACTACTTGGACACAAAAACATATTTCTTCCAACATACAAAACAGCCCTCATTGTGGGCTGACTAAAATGCATAACGCCTCAATCGACTTCAAACATTCCCTGGCCCTTTTGAAAGCCTGCGAGATCGTCTGGTCGGAGCCACTTCCCAACCGTCGGCCACCTCCTCTTGTGTCAGCAACGGCTCCGGAGGAGTTTCTTTAGCAGCTCTACGCGATCCCGAACAAGAAGCTCCCATCCCAGCACCCCTTCCTGGCGCATCTTCATCCATGGCTCCCCCGTTCCCCACTTCCTCCACGTCAGAATCACTGTCATCGCTGTCTGCGTTGCGGTTTGCCTGTGAAAACAAGCACACACACCAGCATGCAGGAACAAACATGAGTTTAAGAAGTAAAAGTAAATGCAACACACGTTCGAAAATCAATTCCTGTACCGTCTGCATTCATTTTTTTCTCCCCACAAACGTCCAGCCCATGCTGAGTCACCGCCCAGCCAATGCTGACTCACCGCTTTGCTCTGCTGCAGTGCCGAGCGCCTTCCCTTGGCAGCAGCGGCTGCTTCCTCTGCCTGCAGCTGCTGTACAAGTGTGAAACTGCCATCCCGACATGCCTTAAACACCTCCACTACCTTATCTGCCACCTGCCAGGAGGAAGGAAGAGGAAAGAAAGGGTAGAATGAGAGTGAGGAACAGAGAACAGATGGGAAACGATCAACACAACGTTTGCCACTTCAATCATGACCATGCATTTGAGGCAGCTGGGACCAGCAAAGCACAGCCAGCATATGCTCAGCTTGCTCAACCTTTCACCTTATTTCCGTTTCCCCCTTCCCCCCTCCCTTCCCTCCCTCCATGCGTTCCCTTCACGCCCATTTTCCTCCCTCACCACGCTCCTCGGAATAACCTAGCGCCTGCAAGCTATTGTCCCTACTATTGCCCATTTGCACTGCACCTATTACCCACAATTTTCCTCCCGGATCCAATCATTCCCCGCCTTCTGGTGACTCCCTCACTCACCCCTCCGAGGCTCCCATCCTCCACCTTCATGTTGAAGTCCCTCACTGCATGTTGATGTCGCTAGTAACAGCACTGCACCTGCACCCACCGCTTCTTCACTTGGATATAAATCCTCCTCACTCACCCCTCCGAGGCTCCCATCCTCCACCTCCGTGTTGAAGTCCCTTCTCTACTGCATGCTGAACTCCCTAGTACGTGCACTCCAAGTGAACCCCCCCTGTCGTCCCCTCAGCTTCAAATCCTCCGCTCACCTCCCTCAGGCTCCCATCCTCCACCTCCATGTTGAAGTCTCTCACTGCATGTTGACGTCGCTAGTAACCGAACTGCACCTGCACCCACCGATTCTTCCCTTGGATATGAATCCTCCTCTCACCTCTTGCAGGCTCCCATCCTCCACTTCCATGTTGCAGTCTCTCACTGCAGTAACCGTACTGCACCTGCACCTACCGATTCTTCCCTTGAATATGAATCCTCCTTACTCACCTCTCGCAGGCTCCCGTCCTCCACCTCCATGTTGAAATCCCTCACCGTCGCCTCGTCCAGCCACTCCTCCAGCTCGTCCCCGTACACCGCTCCTGGTACACTCACCACAGTAATGAGAAAAACGATATAATACATAAAGCGTTTTTCAGTAACACCCGTTTTTCAGTAAATTAATAAGTCTCTCACCAACATCCTGTTTTTCAGCCTAGTTACCAAAAGCGTTGATGTTTCTGCACTCTGCAAGACGACGTGGGCACTGATTGGCGGTTTGGCCGCCACGAATAATTGCTCCCCATAACGGCTTAATACTCCCTTCCCCCTTCCCCTTTTTCCCCCGCCCCACCCGCGCTTGCGGACCAGGTCCGCCTGCAGGTGTCGCGCCTTCCCCCGATCTCCCCCGCTTATCGCGCAAAATCCCCCCCACCTTCGCCGCTTACCGCGCTTGCTGTAGCAGAAATGCACCAGGTCCGCCTGCATGTGTTGCGCCTTCTCCGCGCTCCTTCCGCCGCCCCACTGATTCTCCACCGCCAGCTGCAGCGCAGTCCAGCGCGCAAACACCAGGCGCACGCCCTCGCGGAACCACCCGTCCGCGTGCTGCTCCGCCGCCGTTATGGGGACGGGCACGGGGCCGGGGAGAATCGCTCCGCTGCGCAGCTCCATGGTCGGGGGAAAGATGGCACGCGGAAGGGGAGGATACGCGTAATAACGTTGAGCGGGGCGGAATTGCGCGGAAGAGGTTGTGCGAAAATAATATCTGCGGAAACTGATGCGCGCGGTAAAGGCGTGGAACACCTGCCTGTCAGAAACAGAGTCGTGACTGAGAAAGTGGGGAAGCGCAACACCTACAAGCAAGTGTAAGGGGAGAGGGGATTAGCCAAGGGGTTGAGTTGGGTTGGAGGGTGAGAAAGCTCACTGGTTGGTTGGGTTCGTTGGTTGTCTTTGAAAGTTTGTCCCGAAAATACGAAACTTTGCGGTGTAAACAGATTATCTTTGAGATGTGAACGGATCCTCTCGTCACGAGTACGGAATCCACTTCTTGTTTGCGGTCCGTCCCAGAATAGACATTCCCAAGGTCGCTCTGACACTCCCGCCAGGCAACACCGCAGCATTCTCCCAGGCAAACCCAGCTCGCGCTGCTCCTGGTCTCTCGCCTCTGCTCTTGAGGCTCTTAGCCTGACAACTCTATTGATCACTATAATGCATCGCTTGATTCGCTTTTGCTGGAAATTGGCGGGACTGCAGTTTTGGTGGTGCCATTGAGAAGGTTTGCCAGTCCTCATTCGTCTTGCGAGTTCGTTAGCTTCCGCGATCGTAGGGTTCGCTAGATTCGTTAGCCTTGCGAAATAGTTTTCGCTAGTCCTCAGTCGCCTTGCGAATTCTTTAACCTCCAGGCTTTCTCAGCATCTTTGCGAAGAGTCTTGATCTCGCTAATCTAGTTCCTTCGCTAATCCTTCGGCATCTTAAAACCTGCTCGGCATTTACGATTGCCTCCTAGAATCAAATCCTGGTGACGCGATCACGTTCAGTGAAGACACGTGGCAGTTTCTAAGGCACCCAGCTGGCGCGACCAGAGGCAGAGAGGGTGAACGGATAGCGACACGTGCAACCAAGAACAGCTCACTAGGAAAATACCGTTTCTCCATGGCTGCTCATGCTCATAACGGGACCAGTAACCCCCGCAATAACGCGTACAGCGGACCCTTATCGCCGTCGGCGGGTCTGGGCAGAACGGGAAGTGTTACTACAGGGGGGGGTGTGACTACAGCAGGGTCGGTGAGCGACAGCAGCAAGGCGGCCAGCGCGTTATGGCTCATGGCGTCACACTTCGAGAGTACACATCAGATTCCGCAGGTGAAGCGTTGACGTGGTTGCCCCTGGTAATTTTCTAATCAATGGACTCCGATTCGTCCCTGTTACAGACCATCTCACCTTCCCTCGGGCCCCCCCCCCCTCTCTCTGCAGGTAGTGAAGTGTCTAGAAGCCGTGTGTCAGAGCCCCCAGCCGTTCCTTCCTCTTGTGGAGGTTCGCACGCAGTGCTGGTTGGCCCACGTGTTGACCCCCGCACCTCCTCTCCAACCCGGCCACTCCCCTACCCTTCTTGCAGTTGGTGAAGTGCTTGGAAGCCGTGTGTCAGAGTACCCAGCCGTTCCTTCCTCTCGTGGAGGTTCGCACCCGCTGCTGGCTGGCTCATGTGCTACTGAAACACTCCCGCAATGTGCTGCACGCGAAGGCGCATCTCGAGAGAGCGGTAAGACTTGGTGATGTGCGGTGATTAACAGTTCCAGTAGGGTATGGTGGAGGTTTGCACGCGGTGCTGGCTGGCTCACGTGCTGTTGAAACACTCTCGCAACGTGCTGCATGCCAAGGCGAGAGAGCGGTAAGACTTGGTGATGTGCGGTGATTAACAGTTCCAGTAGGGTATGGTGGAGGTTTGCACGCGGTGCTGGTTCGCTCACGTGCTGCTGAAACACTCCCGCAACGTGCTGCACGCCAAGGCGCATCTCGAGAGAGCGGTGAGATGCGGTGGCGACTGGTGCGCAGTGGTTGAGTGGGACTGGTAGAATCTGATAGTGGTCTCAATCTCAACCTGGTACTGGCTGGCTGGAGTCTTTTGAGACGTGTCAAAAGATGTGCTGCTGTGCAGTCCACAGCTTCCCGCCTTTACCCTCCTTCCCACCTGTGGCGTGGTGCACTCTCTTTCCCTCTGCCCTCTCCCCCGTCTCCCCCCCTCTTTTCCAATGCAGCAAGTGCTTCTGAAGGCCATTCCTGGGAATATCCTCCTCAAGTGCACGGCCCTCTCTCTGCTCGCCACGTGTTACCACCTGATTGGCCACGCCCACTTTCACAAGCACGTACTTCAGAAGGGCATCGATCTAGTCACACACCAGCTCGCCACACTCCCACGCTCAGCCTCGGGTTCTGAACCAGGTCCCAGCTCGGCTGCAGGCTTGGGGTTAGGTTCGGGAGGAGGTTTGGGCGGAGGTTCGGGCGGAGGTTCGGCGGCGGAGCTGGCTCGCTGGATGGGGGTGTTCTCGGTGGGGATGGCGGGGCGGTTGCTGGGGGAGGGAGATGTGGAGGGGGCTGCTGGGGCATTGGCGAAGGGGATGGCTGCTGTACAGACGACAGGGGATAGGGGCATGATGGTAAGCGTGTCTTGCTGATGTGAAGGGGCACTTGAGTGTTGATTGTGTATGTATGTAGCACGTTGGCAGGGCGGCTGCTGGGGGAGGGGGATGTGGAACGGGCTGCTAGTGCGCTGGGGAAGGGGACGGCTGCTGTACAGACGACAGGGGATAGGGGCATGATGGTACGTGTGTGTGTGGTGGAGGGAAAGGGGGGGAAAGGGGAGGGGGAGGAGGGGGGAGGAAGGTGGGAGTAGGTGTGTATGTGTATATATTTGTTGATGTATTCGCTATAGCGTGCATACCAGTTGGTGAAGAGCATGCGAGACTAGGCGATGCTATTCCATGCGAGAGCTTCAGCTAGCTGATATGCCACTCCTCTCCTCGCTTCCCTCCCTCCCTCCCTTCCCTTCCTATCCCTTCCGCCCCTTGATACATTTCACCACCAGCTCCTGCTATCCGCTTCCCTGCTGCACATTCGCATCTCGACCGTCCATCACACGCCACAGCAGATCTCAACCCTTCTTTCAGAATGCACCTCGTTGTGGCAGCAGATCCCGCCACGTCAGCAGCCAGACTACCGTGGCCTGTTCGTCTACGTCCAATTACTGGCTGCCACGTGGCACCTCCGCATGGCTGACTACAACCAGGCCAAGGCTGACGTGGCAGCAGCAGAGGAGGCACTGGCGGGGATGAGTCCCGCTGCAGCGAATCGTGAGGCGCCAGCTGGCAGCTCGCCAGTTGCTGCGTCAGCGCCACGTCAGCTGCAGCAGGGGGGGAATGTGCATGCACAGAGGCTGGGGCAGGATACAGGAGCAGTAAGAGCAGTGGGTGCAGCAGGAGCAGCAGGGGCAGCAGGAGGGGTGATGGGCAACGGAGCAGGGGCAATGGTCGCAGGGGAAGGAGGAGAAGCGTCAGGCGCATGTTTCAGGGATGATCCGTTGATGCGGTTACCACTGGGCCCGCCCCACGTGCTCAATGCTGATTGGCTGCCGCTGCCAGCTGTCAGGGCGGTGGCAGGCCTGCTAAAGGTCATGCTGAGCCGCCCGGGAGGAAAGCTCCTGGAAGCTGAGGGGGCGTTGAAGGAAGAGAGGGAGATGCTGCGAGGTGGGTGGGGGGTGTGTGAGAGAGTAGCGATGTGGCTGTTGATGTGTGACGCACTTATTCTTAGTACTAACCCCACTGGGGTTGAGGGGCAATGCAATGCGCCCAGTGGGGTGTGACATGGGTTATGACATAGAATTCTGCGCATGGTTGCTGCCGATCCTTCCAGTGTTGTCTCGCCAACCACCCCTCCCATCCCTCCTTTTCTTCATTTCCCATACAGTATCGCGTCCTTCCCATCTTCGTCTTCCTGTTTCCTCCTCCTGCTGCAAGTTTCCAGTCCTCTCATTCCTCTCTTTTGTCCCAAAACTCTTTCTCCCCTGCACCTGCTCGCATGCTCGTTCCCACCCCCCTGTCATTCTCACCATTCTCGAAATCTTCACCCTTTCAGATGAGCTTCACCGCATCGGGGTCCTCCCAGGCTCTACAGGTACCCTCCCTCACTCACGCCCTTGCGTCGTTTCTGAGAAATATCAAGAGTCACTTTTGAGAATCTTCACAAGTGACTGAACGGGTACACTCACACTCTTGCTTCCCTTGAGCCATACGAAGAGGCACGTTTGATGTTTCTCTGAAGTGGTTCAACAGGTAAGTTTGGACATGCTTCCTCACCTAGTAAGGGCACGCCTATCCAGCCCACGAATAGCAGTGCTCCTCTCAATGGCTCCTAGCGTGGAGACTCTGCAATGGAACCACGAATACAGTCCTCTGACTCCCTACTTCATGTGTCAACACCCGTGATTCTCATTGCAGAGTCTACTCTGGAGCCGTGGAGTGTGGCGTGGGCCGGCACACTCCTCTTGCTCCTCTACGCAGTGTGAGCTGCCTCATCAGTCAGTTTATTCCACGTGTCTCTCCCTTGCCTTGCTCCCCTTCCACTCTCTCACTCCCATCACAGAGTCCACTCTGGAGCCTTGGAGTGTGGTGTGGGCAGGCACGCTCTTGCTCTTGCTTCTCTACGTCTTGGAAGCCCAAGCAGTGCTGGCGCTGACATCTACAGAATACCCCCTCTCGCAACGGGTAAGCAAACAGACACAGGGGTGTGTGGTGTCTGAACGGGGCGATGGGAAGGGGGGCGAGGGGGCTTGGGCAGGCACGCTCCTCTCCTCTTGCTCCTCTACGTCTTGGAAGCCCAGGCAGTGCTGGTGGCGCTGACATCTACAGAGTATCCTCTCTCTCAATGGGTAAGCTGCGCATGCAGGCATATGTGTGTGGGAGGGGGTAGAGTGATGGTGGAGTGTGGCGTGGGCCGGCATGCTCCTCCTCTTGCTGCTCTACGTCTTGGAGGCCCAAGCGGTGCTCGCGCTGACTTCTAATGAGTATTCTCTCTTGCAACGGGTAAGCAAGCGAATTCGAGGTTGCATGTACGGGGAAGGGAAGGGAGGAACTGGTTACAGTGGCGCTCCTCCTCTTGCTGCTCTACATTTTGGAGGCCCACGCGGTGCTGGCGCTGACTTCTACTGAGTAAACTCTCTCGCAACGGGTAAGCAGAGAAATACAGGTGCGTGGAGGTTGGAAAGGGGTTAAAAGGGGGATGTGCGTGGGCAGGCACCCTCCTGCTCTACGTCTTAGAAGCCCAAGTGGTGCTGGCGTTGACATTTACAGAATACCCTCTCTCTTAATGGGTAAGTCTAGCTGGTTTTTTCTCCATCCCCCCCAATCATTCCAACCAACCTACCAGGTTCTGTTGGAGATTTGTGATTGGTCAAGTCGCTTCCCGACCCTGCTGGCCTCGTTTGGTCCGAACCTCCACCTCTTGCTCGGGCAGTACGCCCATGCCACAATCGACCTTCCAATCGCAATCCGCCACTTCAGCACCGCTGCTGCCAAGGTTCGTGACTGCCTTGCCTGCTAGCTCTTTTGATCTCTCTTGCTTTCTTGCTTTCTTGTGTTCTTGCTTTCTTGCTTTCTTGTGTTCTTGCTTTCTTGCTTTCTTGTGTTCTTGCTTTCTTGCTTTCTTGTGTTCTTGCTTTCTTGCTTTCTTGTGTTCTTGCTTTCTTGCTTTCTTGTGTTCTTGCTTTCTTGCTTTCTTGTGTTCTTGCTTTCTTGTGTTCTTGCTTTCTTGCTTTCTTGTGTTCTTGCTTTCTTGTGTTCTTGCTTTCTTGCTTTCTTGTGTTCTTGCTTTCTTGCTTTCTTGCTTTCTTGTGTTCTTGCTTTCTTGCTTTCTTGTGTTCTTGCTTTCTTGCTTTCTTGCTTTCTTGTGTTCTTGCTTTCTTGCTTTCTTGTGTTCTTGCTTTCTTGCTTTCTTGTGTTCTTGCTTTCTTGGTCTCTTTTGAGACGTCTCTAAAGTCTTTCTTGGTCTCTTGCCACGCCTCGCCATTTTCACCAATGTGCCATTCACCTCCACAAATATCCACTCCCGTTTTTGTTAACCTTGCAACCCCCGCACACACACACTCGCAGACTACATCCTCCTCCCCCCCCCCACCATCTCCACCATCGCCCCATCTGCTGCCTTCCTCTCTACCTCGCCAGCCACTGCCAAAACCGCTCACAACCACTCATTCTATCTGTCTCCCACGCACCCACACGCTTCCAGGGTGCATCCTCCTCCCCCCACCATATCCACCATCGCCCCATCCGCTGCCTGGCCCTCTGCCTGTTCACCTCACAACCATTCCTTTTCGCCTCTTCCCATTCTGTATCTCTCCCATCCACACAACCCCTCAGGCAGCGTCCTCCTCCCGCACCACCTCCACCACCGCCCCATCCACTGCCTGGCTCTCTACCTGCAACCACTTCCTTTCCCCTTACCCTCCCGTTTATTGCCCCACCCTACTCCCTTCCCCCCATGCACTCCCTTCCAGGCCGGGTCCTCCTCCCCCCACCATCTCCACCATCGGCCCATCCGCTGCCTTGCTCTCTGCCTCTCTGCCATCGTGCATCTCACCATCGACGACCCCTCACACGGGCACATATCCCAGGCGAGTCTTCTGAGACTGTTGAGTCTTGTGGGCGCGAAACTGCTGTTATTGTTGCAAGGTTCAGGAAATCTTCTGCCGGATGAAACGCCATGCGTATAAGCTCTTTCTAAACAAAAAAAAAAAAACAAAAAACAAAACAAAAAGCAAAAAAAAAGAGGAAAAAATGCTCTTGGCTACTCCATCATCTCTTTTGCCGCCTCTTCTTTGTTCATCCATCACCCTTCATCCAGGCAGTGGACATGCCATCGGCTCTGGAGCAAGAAGAAGCACAGGGCGCCCAAACGCGGCAGCCGCAGCAGCAAGAAGCACACCACGCCTTTAGAGTCCACCCTTCTTTCTTTAGCCATTATCGGTGCTGCCTCCTACTATTCTTGTCCCTCCGCGTTTCTTCAGGCAGTGGACATTCTATCAGCTCTGGAGCAGGAAGAAGCACAGCACGCCCAAACGCGACAGCAGCAGCAACAACAAGCGGGAGCATTGCCTTCACCATCAGCAGCATCACCGTCAGCAGCAGGGGTTGCAACAGGGGAGGAAAGGAAGAGGGAGCAGTGCGCGCAGCTGCTCGCAACAGCTCTGCTGGCGCTTAGACAGGGAAACCTGGTGGATGCTAGGTGAGTCTCAACGTGGTGCCATGTGTGTTGATGGGGTAAGGTGGGTCTGTGGCGGTGCAAGGTGGGTTTGTGGCGGTGCAAGGTGGGTTTGTGGCGGTGCAAGGTGGGTTTGTGGCGGTGCAAGGTGGGTTTGTGGCGGTGCAAGGTGGGTTTGTGGCGGTGCAAGGTGGGTTTGTGGCGGTGCAAGGTGGGTCTGGTAATCTGGGCTCACTGATTTCTTGAAATTAACTTGTCTGAGATAACTCACTTAGGCAAGCGTCATACACTGTTCAATTCCCGTTCTCCCTGTCCTTCCACGTGGCAGGAGCCGACTCGCCCAAGGGCTGTTGGTGACTCACCGCCAGCTCAGCAACCACCAGATCGCCGCCCATTTCCTGCTGGCCATAGGCGGCATTGCACTGCGCACCAGCGACCTTGTTGGAGCAAAGGACATTCTGAGATCTGGGTTGACTCTATTCCGGGCGGCAAGAGATACCCAGGGCGTGGTGGCTGTTGCAGCAGAGTTGTCACGTGAGTTATTTTACTACTCAAATAAATACTAATGCAAAAATGTCTCGAAATCAAAAACACATAGCACTACCACGGCAACCAGCGACCTGGTTGGAGCAACGGACATCCTGAGATCTGAAATAATTCTCTAAGGGCGTGGTGGCTGTTGCGTCAGAGCTATCATGTAAGCGTAAAAAGAGGGGGGGAAGGGGAGGGTAAGGGATACAAAGACTTTATTGGAGCAAAGGACATCTTGAGATCTGGACTGATTCTCTTCTGGGCAGCGAGGGACACCCAGGGCGTGGTGGCTGTGGCTTCGGAGCTATCGCGTGAGTGTAAAGAGGTGTTTTGAGGCGCCTCAAAATACACCTCAATGGCTTCCCCCTCTTCTTCCGCACGTGCCCTGTGCTCCACTTCCTTCCAAGAGGCAAGGGATTCACAGCGCGTGGTGGCTGTGGCGTCGGAGCTATCACGTGAGTGTAAAGGGACGACTTCCCCCTCTCTTTCCCCGATTTCTCCCCGTGCTCCAGTCTTGTACAGTTCAACAGACGAGGCAATGGCAGAGAGTCAGAACACGGCGTATCTGGCTTGCACGCAAGGCGAGCTTTGGATTACACCCATCTTCTACTTGCTCCCGCTCCCCTCCCCTCCTCACTCCCTTCCCAGTCTTGTACAGGTTGACAGACGAGGCAACGGCAGAGAGTCAGAATGTGGTCTATCTGGCTCGCAAGCGAGGCAAGCCAAGATGACGCACAAGCCCTCTCTGTTTCTTCATCCCCCTCTTCTTCCCCCGCAACTCTCCCTTCCCAGTCTTGTACAGGTCAACAGACGAGGCGATGGCAGAGAGTCAGAACGCGGCGTATCTGAATCGCAAGCGAGGGGAGCTGAGCCAGCAGGTCACAGCAGTGGTTGGTGCACCAGGGCATGCCATACTGCTACAGGTAAAGATCATGTTCTATGCTATCTGTGGGAGTTTCTTTCGATCCACTAGAAGGTTGCATTGCAAACAAGGCGAGCTGAGCCAGCAGGTCACAGCAGCGGTCTGTGCGGTCTCCAAACATTCCAGCACCGGGGCATGCCATACTGCTACAGGTAGCCCTTCCGCTGCACATTCCAGCAGCGGTCTGTGCAGGGCATGCCATACTGCTACGGGTAGCCCTTCCAAGCTGGAATGTTTGTCATGGCTGGTGCTACCTAGTTTTGGAAAAAAGGTAGTCTTTTGTGCTGCTCTGCAGAGGTGTCGGCACACCGGGGCATTCCATACTGCTACAGGTGTGTTGATCATGTTCCCTGTAAGAGTTGCCTTCGAATCCACTAGAAGGTTGCAAGCGAGGCGAGCTGAGCCAGCAGGTCACAGCAGCGGTTGGTACACTGGGGCATGCGCTCTTGCTACAGGTAAAGATTATGAAGTGTGTAACAGTTGCTTTTGAGGAAGGTGATGAGTACTGAACAAACATGCGAAATGTGTGCCGACTCCTTTGTGTTTCTCCCCTTGCCCATTGCAGTATGGTCCTCCTCTATAAGGCTCTGAATTGCTCTGCAAGCCTCTCAACCGCGTATCACGTGGTCAACCACCTCAGAAATATTCTCTCATGAACGCTGCCCTGACACTCCAGCTTTGGCTTGGCGAGGCGGCCGTTTCTGCACCTGCTGCTGGTGGTGCTGCTGAAAAGTTTTCAACCCAACGTCATTTCTGTGCCTGGTTCTGCTGCCGTGTGAAGTAACACCTGCAGCTGCAGCATGCAGACTTGATATGTGTGAAAAATGTGGTACATATTTCTGCCAGCCATTAAATCAGTCAAACTTGTTTCCGTGAGCTGGCTAAGCTTTAACAGTGCGTAAGATATCAGCAATGTAGCGTATATTGGCACTAATCGTGCCATACGTGTTACACAAGGTCCGAAAGATGGACCATATACCGGACCCCAAGCATAGTACGTGACTAATCTACGGTGCCGGTAAACCCGAGAAGTGGCATACGCCCAACACGTTAAAACCGAGATGCAAAATAGTGAACCCAAACCCAACTTGAAAGGGCGCAGGGACGAGTTTGCCGGGCGAAACAAAGTTTAGACGGACTGAGAAGTTTGTACCGTTTCAAACGCTGCGGACGTGCAAATCGAACACCTTTGATTGGTTCCAGCCAAAATTGAGACATTTTCCTAATGTGTGACGTCGCACTTCTCATTGCTAAGCCCTTTCTCTGACAATTGCACAGGCGATCGTTTCAGTCTGTCCAAGCGATTTGGGCCCAACTGATGTTTCAACTTGGGATGGGGTGAACTACTACCAATTTTGCGTCGGAAGTTCTAAGTAGCTAGGCTAGGCATAGGCTATGTCTCAACTTAGGCCCTCGTTATCTACACATGTATTAATCAGAATGTCCGTCGTGTTGTATCCGAAAGCTATGAGTTTAAGCTTTTCAGTCTGTCCCTTTGCGCCCTCGTTTTTCCGTCCCGTCGCCCACGCGATCTCCTCTCGCCTCCCTTACCCACGCGATTGTCGCCGCACTTCCGTGGCTCGTCCCGCTGCCTTCTCATCGCCCATCCCATCGTCCATCCCGTCGCCCATACCATCGCCCATCTCGTCGCCCATCCCGTCGCCCATCCCGTCGTCGATCCCGTCGCCCTTCCCGTCGCCCATCCCGTCGCCCCTCCCTCCGCCCTTCCTATCTCCCCTCGCCTATCCTCTCCCCCGTCGCCCTTTCTCTCCCTTGTCGCCCTTTCTCTCCCCCGTCGCCCTTTCTCTCTCCCGTCGCCCTTTCTCTGTCACGTCGCCCTTTCTCTCTCCCGTCGCCCTTGCTCTCTCCCGTCGCCCTTTCTCTGTCACGTCGCCCTTTCTCTTTCCCGTTGCCCTCCCTCCCGTCGCCCTTAAGCTCTCCCGTCGCCGATCCTCTCTCCCGTCGCCCTTCCTTTCTCCCGTCGCCTATCCTCTCTCCCGTCGCCCTTTATCTCTCCCGTCGCCTATCCTCTCTCCCTCGAAACAGTCATCGCCCTTCCTCTCTCCCCTCCCGTCACCCACCTCGGCGCCCTGGCGCTCGCCCCGAAATGCCTGCCCGTCGCCCTTCGTTTCTCCCCTCCCATCACCCATCTTGGCACCTTCGCGCTCGCCCCGAAATGCCTGCAAGTCACCCTTCCTTTCTCCCCTCCCATCTCCCCACACCCTACCATTCCACAATTTTCGCTCAATCAGCTCTCTACGTGCGTTGTCGTTTCCTTCTCGTTCTTCGTTTTTTTATTCCTAACATAAAACTTCTCTGTTTTTTATGCATTTCTGCTTTTCCTACGCTGTTTGTGCCGCTTCAGCAGGTCCATGTCTGAGGCGTTTGTTGTGCGTGAATTGCACATGCAAAACCTGTTGAAATTGGCCCCCTCGTGTAATCGGGAATCGCACGTCGCATTTGTACATGCTTGCGACATTTTTTGTGAAAATCACTGAAGACTTGAACGCGTCTGAAAAACAAAACAGAACAACGCTTCAACCGTCAAAAGCATTAAAAAGTTAGTTCTAGATTAAAAAGTGGATCCACTAGAAGGGGGGGGGTCACTATTTTAGCTGCTAGCTTTAAGTTCGAACCCCGAAAAAAAAAAAAAAAAAAAAAAAAAAAAAAAAAACCTTTCCCTGTTTCAATCTTACCTCCCCTGAATAGTAGGAAAACATTTCTTTCTACCCATGAACAGTATGAGACCCATCAAAGAGGTCCGCATTGGCCACATGGGCTTGCACTGCAGCTAGCACATGATTCATCCCCGCTCCCGAACCTCCGCTTATCAACGCCGGACCTGCCGCTCCGGTCTCCAAACCTGCTGCCGCTGCCGGAACGGCATTCGCTGCACCAGTTCCTGCTCCCCTCACCCCTCCGTACCCTAGACCCCCACCACCCACTCCTATGTTGCTCTCCCCCTCGCCCTCATTCCCCCCACCATCTCCCCCCAACCCACCCACTCCCCCCACTCCCCCGTCCCCCTCCCCCTCTTCCCCTAGCGCCCCCCCCGCCCCCTTTTCCCCCTCCTGGATGAGCCGTGTGAGCAGCTCCTCTATCTGCACTGCTGTGGCGTCCCTATTTGCTTTCGTGAGCGTGAGCACGGCTGAATGGGGGGGGATAAGAGAGGGGGGAAAAGGGAGGATAAGGATCAATGGCATGAGGCATGAGCGCATGGTCGCCCCCCCTTCCCGCCACTTTCCCCCCCTCCTGGATGAGCCGTGTGAGAAGCTCTTCTGTCTGCACTGCTGTGGGGTCCCGGTTGGCCTTGGTGAGTGTGAGCACGGCTGAATGGGGAGGGGGAAAAGGGAGGATAAGGATCAATGGCATGAGGCATAAGGGCATGGTCGCCCCCCCTTCCCGCTCCTTTCCCCCCCTCCTGGATGAGCCATGTGAGAAGCTCTTCTGTCTGCACTGCTGTGGCGCCCCGGTTGGCCCCGGTGAGCGTGAGAACGGCTGAATGGGGGGAGATAAGGTAGGGGGAAAAGGAAGGATATGGAGGGAGGGCATGAGGCATGAGGGCATAGCGGCTCCCCTCCCGCCCCTTTCTCCCCCTCCTGGATGAGCCGTGTGAGAAGCTCTTCTATCTGCACTGCTGTGGCGTCCGTGTTGGCCTTGATGAGTGTGAGCACGGCTGAAAGGGGGGGGATGAGTGAGGGGGATAAGGGAGGATAAGGAGGAATGGCATGAGGCATGAGCGCATGGTCGCTCCCCCCGTCGCTGCTTCTCCCCTTCCTGGATAGGGGCGAGTGAGAAGCTCTTCTATCTGCACTGCTGTGGCGTCCCTGCTGGCCTTGGTCAGGGTGAGGGGGAAAGGGGGAAGGGAAGAATAAGGGGGGAGAGGGATAAGTGAGCAGAAGCTCCCCTATCTGCACACTGCTGTGGCGTCCCGGTTGGCCTTGGTGAGTGTGAGCACGGCTGATGGGAAGGGGGGAGAGAAGATAAGGCGGATAGGGTGTGGAGAGTAAGACGAGAGGAGAAAGTTTTCAGAATGTTTGGGGCAAGGGAGCGTTAAGAAGGCACGAGAGGGTAGTCATAACGACCTGGAAGAGAGGGTGGGATACATGCAACGTTCCAGAAAAGAGAGGAGTTCACTAGTCTCACAAGAGGAAACGTGGGAAATTCGTCCTAAAATTAGACAAAAAAAAGGATGAAATGAAGTTTTGAGACACACCAAGAACTGGGCACAAATGTGTTGCTTAACTCGGCCAATTCAGTTCTGCCGGATTTCCAACACAGAATCCTGTGCAACAAATTTTTGGCACACGATTTTTGATTACCTGTGTCGGCGCGCTGCTTGATTTCCTCTACTAGCTCCAATGTGTGACCATAACGAGGGGCGGGCAGGGCGCCAAACACCTGCAGACACACACCAACGCGAGCAAGAGAGCAGTGAGAAGTGTGAACGAGTGACGAATGCAAAGGAGGAAAGAGTGTATTGAAGAAGATTAGAACCGATGGAATCGGATGGAAATCCTAAAGGCTGTGCAGCAGGGACTAGGGTGAGAATGAAAGAGCTTACAGCAACGGGAGAGGCGAGCAGGTTGAGTACAGCGTCTCTGAACTTGTCACTGCAGAGCTCCATGCGCCCGATCTGGTGAGAGGGGAGTGGCAAGGGAGGCAGAAAAGGGGGTAAGAGGGACACACGGGGAGGTGAGCAGGTTGAGCACAGCGTCTCTGAACTTGTCACTGCAGAGCTCCATGCGCCCGATCTGGATGGGGAGAGAGGAGGGGAATGTAGGGAGGGGGAAGAGGGAGAGGGAGGCAGAAGGGGAGGGAGAGAGGGCGGAGGACAGCAGGCTGAGCACAGCGTCTCTGAACTTGTCACTGCAGAGCTCCATGCGCCCGATCTGGATGGGGAGAGAGAGAGGGGGAAAGAGGTTGGAGGGAGATGGAGAGGGAAGGGGGAGGTACAAGGGCGAGGAAACCAGCCTGTCTGACGTGTGGCGTCTGATGGCATGAGGTGCGGCATGGGGTGCGGCATGAGGTGCGGGATGAGGTGCGGCATGGCATGGATGATTCATGGAGCTACAAGCACCAGCCTACCTCGTCCACGATGTGCAGGCGCGTTGTATCTGACGGCATAAGGTGTGAAATGGTGGACCCATGAACCCATCCCTGCCACCTCACCTCGTCCACGATGTGCTGGCACGTTGTATCTGACGGCATAAGGTGTGAAATGGTGGACCCATGAACCCATCCCTGCCACCTCACCTCGTCCACGATGTGCAGGCGCGTTGTATCTGACGGCATGAGGTGCGGCAACACTACCCGCTCGAACTCGTCTATTGCCACGTAGTACTTGCCGATCTGAGGAAGTGAGGGAGGGAGGGCGAGAGGTAGAAAGTGAAAGAGACAGCATGCGACATACTGAAAATTCGGCAACACTACCCGCTCGAACTCGTCTATTGCCACATAGTACTTGCCGATCTGAGGAGGGGGAGAAGTTGGAGAGGCAGAGTGAGAGAGAGAGCAGTGAGACGTGTTGAGCTCATCTATTGCCATGTCTGACATGCTGATCTCCCCCTTTACAACCCAAAGCTCCATTCCCCCACCCGTGGATAAAACCACACTCTCTCCTTAATCTGCCTTGGTTTCCCATCCCGTCTCCCCCTCCGTTCCCCTTTTTCCCCGTCCCCCACTCCCGGTTCCCCCACCTCCCCCTTTGTTTCCCCCCTTCCCATCCTCCATTCCCCCCACCTTGGGTCCGCAGCCTCTCTGTAATCTGCATAGAGGCGCGCGCTCGCCGCCATGCCTTTCCATCCCCTTCTATCCACTTACCCCCCTTTATCTCACCTTCCATTTCCTCTCCCCCCTCCTCCCTCTTCCCCACCTCACATTGCCCTCCCCACCACCTTGGGTCCGCATCTTCGTAATCTGCATAGAGGCGCGCGCTCGCCGCCATGCCTTTCCATCCCCCTCCCTCTTCCCCACCTCACATTGCCATCCCCCAGCCCCCCCTTCCCACCTTGGGTCCGCAGCCTCTTCGTAATCTGCATAGAGGCGCGCGCTCGCCCGCGAAAGTGACTGTAACCGGAGGAGGGGGAGGCGGGAGAAAGGGGAAAACGGAGGGGGGAGAGCAGAAACGACAACATATGAATGGACGGAGTTTGATTTGAAAACAAGATCGGGAGAGGGGAAGGGGAAGGGGGAGGGGAAGGGGGAGGGGAAGGGGGAGGGGAAGGGGGAGGGGAAGGGGGAGGGGAAGGGGGGGGAGGAGAAAAGATGGATGTATGGTAAGGATGGGGTACAGCACGGAGCCTTGGACCGCTTTCCTCCAGCTCAAGCTGCCTACCAGCCCTCTCCTCTCCCTCACCTTCTCGTCCCCTTATTCCGCCCTCACTTTCCTCCTTACTCTCCCCCCACTCACCTCTTTCCTCCCCTCTCACTCACCTCCTCCTCCATCCCTCTCCCCTCCCCTCCCCCCGCCCCTCCCACACTCACTGACATCCAGCCCGAGTCGTTCCCCCGTGCCCTCCGCCTTGGCCTCAACGGTGTAGAACCCCGCTACTAGATGCTGCGGTAAGCGCTTCGCCACCTTCAGCACCAACCTGTAGTGTACACGCAATACGATCCCACAGGAAAAAAACAAATCTTCCAGTGTATTCGCAATAACGTAACCACTCAAAAAAGCCTGTCACCGCCAAGACATCAGGCGTGTGCGAGCACCAACGGGAAGACAGCAGAACTGACAAACGGTAACCGCTACAGAGATTCAGTTCATCTACCGGGCATTGAGGGCACGATGATGCATAGATGAGATAAGAGGAGAAGGGGTGTCTGTGCACTCACGAAGTTTTCCCGATGCCTGGAGCACACGCGCCCACGCATGCCGTGTACGAGCCCACGCGTGTCATGCGCGCGCCACGCATGTCATGCCCACGCGCCCACGCATGTCATGCACACGCGCAGCGCCAAAACGGGGGAAACGGGAGGCGGGAGGCGGGGGAAGGGGAAGCATAACACTGGCGGTTGAGGAACATGCACGGGACGGTGAAGAGGTGAGAGGAGGACACGAGTGGAATCGCATGGGAAGCAAACCAAGACGCGTTTTCAGATGCTTCGGATGGGTCAAGCTTGAGTAGTCCCCCTGTGCTGCTTACGGTTCGTTTCAACCGATGGTTGCGCAGCAGGATGCGGCATGACGAGCAGCAGCTTGAGGTGTTACACTGATATAGTCTGTTGTTTTAGACGCATCTGGTAGCGACACGCGATCGCTATGCTGGTTAGTCTAGCTGTTCCATGTGAAATAGTGGGCGGTGCAGCACAGGACAGTAGTCGGCGTGCTTACAAAGAGGTCCCTGGCGTATGTGATGGCACTACGGTATCGGGTGTGATTATATCGAAGTACCTGGCTGGCCGGTGACGAATACGTTCACGGTGGAGCTGTTGGCTCCGCTGGTGCCGCTCGTGCCTTCGTGCGAGACCATTTGAACCATCCACGGAGTCGCGGGGTGACTGAATCTACGGCTCAGATTCGCTGCTAGCTGCTAGCTACGCTACGTATTACAATGCCGTAGCTTCGCCCAGTGAGCTGAATGTAACGTCGTGGTGACGTTACGTCTCCTCCGTCTAGCCTAACCTCTGCTTGCTATCTTCGTCCCTTGAAAAATGCGTAGCCTCTGTTAGTCTCTGCCTACTTCCGTAATGTCATGACGGGATACGGGTGTCTGAAGGGACTCTCGCGAATGGTTGGACCAGCCACGTGACGGGACCTAAGCTTGACGAAATCTATGTAAACAAACGGAAAATGACATCTGTCTTTCAAGATGCTGCGGTACGGATGCTCCAAAGTGCTGGAGTAAGAAGCGGGAAGCGAATGGGTCCGCGCTGAAATTGACGTTGGGTGTTAGTTATTGCTGCGTGGAGCAATGGATGTACGTACAACGCAGATCCCGCTTGCAGCGCAAGGGAGAGCTTGACAAGAGGGAACTGTTCGGCTCGGACGAAATGGGAGGAAATCGTGTGAGAAACAGGAACATATTCCGAAAACAGCTTGGCGACGTGAATTCTGGGGAATGTCCTACCCACAGACCACGCGTCGCGAAAAAATCTAGATTGGGGGACGAAGTTGCTCGAAGAAAAATCAGCGCGTGTAGAATGGGATTCAGAACTTGGCGAACCACGTGACGCTATGTTGCATACCGTACAGATTGGTGACTCTAGAAACTGGCAAATGGTCAAAATTTGAGATCACCCTGCTGGGGCAGCTTTACCGAAATGCTTGGCGGTTGCTGGGTGGGCTGTGGTAAGTCCAGCGCATAGCCGGAAAAGCTGGGTGTCACTGCGCTGGACGCAACAGAGGCACAAGAAAGGCCAGGAGAAAGTCCCGCAAGCTCGAGGCGGGCTGAGCTGGCTCCACGTGGGACAAGACATGACTTGCTTTCGTGGCACATCCAATGAAAATGCAGGAGCCCCCAAGATGCTGTGCTGTAGATGTCCTATCACTCCATGGTGGAGGAACAGCGTGTACACACTGAGCAGGCAGTATGCAAACACCGTACAAGCAGGATGACCAAGTTGACCCAGACACTACTATTCTCTACTTTAGATGTTACATTACACGTATATACCAGTTGTCTACTTTACGTCATACCTTATTATGATCCAGCAAGATAATTCAGCCACTGCATTTATCTGCAGCGTGGAAAACCATTGAGTACTTCAAACAAAAACATTGCACACAAACAGCTATAATCTCGATGCTCGGATGGGCAAAGCAGTTCACAGCCCAGCTGAGCTTCCAAGCAGGCACTGCTGCTACTGTTTCGGCCTTTTCGTGCATGGTTAAATACTACCTACCAGGAATAACCACTCCTTGGATTACAGGTAAAAAACGGTTGGAGAGCAGTAATTGGCCTCTACCAATCATTGGGATACACTTGCCGGAGCTTCTTTCCAGGGACATACGTGCCATCTTGGAAACCCACGAAAAACTGCACGAGCACACAAAAGATCCACAATCAGGCTCCCCTTTCGTGGATGCGTAACGGAGAGAACAGAACCAGAACCTAACTCACCTTGGGAATCCAGGGGTGAACGACTGGTGAAGCATCACTCTGGGCTACGAGATTTTCCTGTGCGACGTAAGTGGAGACACCTCCTGCTCTATCTCGAGTGTCTACCAAGACGTGGTAGAATGGCTGGCTTCTCCCATGTGTCAATAGGTCCACTTTCATCGCATCTTGCCAGCTGGAAGGGGCTGAGCACTCAGGATCGTGACCGTACACAACGCCGCGATAGCCTGTACACGGAAGGGGGTGAGCAGGGATGATCTATTGGACTGGCCGTGATGAAGAGTGATAATGAGATGAAAATTGTTACAAACGCTCACCGTATCTGCGGTGCACGATGACATCTCCCACACGGTACATGATGCGCGGTTTGGCCTGAATCTCTAACAAACGCTTCCGAAACTCCATCATGGCTAGGCTGTCGCGGACCTGCAAGAGACAAACAGCGTAAATGACTAATTTGGAAACTCCGGTGCTACAAAAGCATAATCTCGAATGCAGCCTACCACGCATGCTTCCTCGTAATGTTCTGCTGCCACCAGAGCTGCCATCCGGTCTTGCAGCTCTTTCACCTCAGACGACACGACCACGTATGACTCGCTCATTTCTAATTCCTGCAAAATCAATGGAAAGTGGGTGAGGCCCGCTACGAATACGAAGGGTATAAAAACACGACATAGAACGAGCCAAGAACAGCCAAGACGCACCTTCCTAGCCCTCCTCTCCACAACACAGTCATTTCCAAAAGAATCGCGAAAATTCTCAAGCGGATCGGCCACTTCCATGCGCCAGGCCTTCGGTCGTCGGACTTCGCGATTGCAACAGACTTTAGTAGAGAGCTTTAAACATTGACTATTTCCAAACATCGAGGACATTGACGAGCGCACGGTTCGTCCTTTCTGAACTACCTGCTCTTCACTCTTTAGTGGTCCATAACAAGCGCAATCCTTCAAGACTACGGAGCTCGCTGAGAAGGCGGCCATAGCTAAGAGGTCTAATGACAAACCCGTTGGAAAACTGGAAGCATGAAATAAAAATATATCAGATGGATCAACGATGGTGGTTGGCGACGTTTGCAATGCTTGGCACGAAACAGCATAAGTCAATGACAACCTAGCAAGGGTAGTCCAGCGCTGAAAATGAGCCGACAATCGCCTTCATCCCTAGGGAGTTCCAACAGGAGTGGTGGGGAGGAAGTGGAGAGTAGCAGTTCTCGGAGGGGGGTCACATGGGCCGAGGGGAGGAGGAAGGAGGTGGAGAAGGATCGGGCAGATGTCAGGTCAGCTGACATGGCATGAAAAAGGGATTGTGATCCGCTGAGGAGGAATGTTTACACGAGGAAGAGCTAGCATCCCTCCCAATGTGGAGCCACGTGAGTGGCTACGGTGGATCGTGGCACAATCAATCACGCCGATTGGAAACCCGCTAAAAGTGGAGGCTTGCTTGGCGCGCAGCTGCGACTGGAGGTGAATGGATGATGTTGCAGTTTCGTTTCCGTGCAGACCGCAGCAGGAAGAAAGGAGGACGTTCTGTCCACACGTGGTGACTGTGGATGGTGGTGATTTTGATGTGACCCATCAAAATCGACCGAAAATGTGTGGACTTCCGTTTGAGGATATTCGATGTGCAATCGATATTCCCCGTTTACTTGGGGGATGAAATCACTGATGAAACAACGTACTATATCTCTCTAAAACGTTTTGAAAACATCCGAAACGTTCTGTATCGCAAAATATCAGAGGATATCGAAAGTGGTCTCCCCACAAACCATCAAACCACATGACAAAATGCTGTGATGCAATATCTAGGATACAAGGGCTGAAATTAATGCGAGACGCTCTTTACGCGTACAAATTCTTTGGTGACATTCAGTCATCAGTTGAGTGTGTGTGCTGTTCGTTGTGCGGCTGCAACAAAATGTGTGCTGATCAGCCTGTGATAGTTGAGGCCTATATTAGGTGCTGATCAGCCTATGGTTCCAGATACCGTAGTCATAATTAGTGCGGTGTGTACACGAGTAGGTAATGAGCTACGAAACAAATATTTTTCGGATCTATAAAGTGGCAGCAGACCAACTCTTTGCTGCCTAGATCAGGGAAGACAATGCCATTGGCACTCAGCGTCACACCTCATGGCCCCAAGCCTATTTTCTGGGCCATTTCCGGGATGCACCCGTCGCGAGGAGTTCATTCAGCCGCGAATCATGTTATGGTAACCAGGAATGAATGGCGAACGAGCGACTACGATCGCGATCCTGAGCCGACGAAACCTGTGGGACTGACCATTAGGAGAAGGGCATCTGGCAGTGAGCGTGACGAGCCTGCTACGGAGCCTATCGCCGTCGGTGATTCATCAAACACGCATCTATGGCCTTCCACAGATGAGCAATTCGACGGAATTATCAGGACGGGTAGAGAAAGCAGAGAAACCAGAGACAGCAGAGACAGCAGAGACAGCAGAGACAGCATAGACAGCGGAGAAAGCAGAGACAGCAGAGTCTTTGGGGACAGGTGGGTGAATGCAGCCAGAAGCGATAAGGTTAAAGCCCTGGTCGTGGTTCAAGACAAGGAACCACACGGTTTGGTGAGGAAGCCTGCCAATCAGGGACGGAATGCGGTGTTGAAAACGCGCGATCGATTTGAGCCGAATTCAGCGACTTCAGATCCGCTTAGGGCGGAGCTTCTTGCCGAAAAAGCTTATGAGAATGCGTCAGCGTCGCCAGACCGGCAAAGGACGGCAGATCGGGAGAGTCGGCAAAGGCGTTTCCGCAGCTACGCCGGCTAGCGTAGCAAGATCGTCCGATGCCGAGAGACCTGCGGAGGAGGTGGGAACGCCTAGATGGGTCAAGAGGCGTGGTGAGGAGGTAGGGAAGCGTGCATGGACAGAGGGGTGTACGGTTGTCGACACATTTCCAATGCCATTAATGGCGAGCACCCCAGGCCAGACCAGCAGCAGCAGCAGCAGCAGACGCTGGGGAAACGACACTGCTGCTGATGCTAGAAACAACATGGGTGGGGGGATGGGCCGTGGGAGAGAGGGTGCGAGAGAGCGGGCGGTGAAAGCGGCGGCGGAGATCAGAGCCCGAGGGTTGAGGGGAACAGCAGAGGTAATTGAGTGTGTCAGGCGCCATAGCCTAGCCGTTGATAACCGGACGCTTAACCTGCTGCTTGGCGTGATCGTGGGAGGCAGAGCAGTATCGCATAGCGGGGAGCTTATAACGGATAACAGAAATGGCGGGAGAGCCGCAGATAGGAGGCTTCCTGCTGTGTCTGGAGCAGATGAGACAGGGTTTAAGCGAGGTTTAGAGGTGAGGGATTGGGAGGGCGCAAAGGCGGTGGCGGTGGCGTTTGAAGCAGAAGGAGTGGAGTTGAATGAGCGGATTTACACCACGCTGATCTCATGCTTTGGGTTGAGTGCTCTCAAGGCGATGACTTTGTGTTGCCTCAGATGTCATTTGAGGTGACTTTTGAGTTGGCTCACATGTCATTTGAGGTGACTTTTGAGTTGGCTCACATGTCATTTGAGGTGACTTTTGAGTTGGCTCACATGTCATTTGAGGTGACTCTTGAGTTGGCTCACATGTCATTTGAGGTCGCGCTAACGCTTTCAGAATCAACACCAAAGCACCCAACGACTTTTCCGCCACCCCCCCACCCCCCCAACTCCCCCTGGGCATGCCAGCAAGGGCGCGCGCATGGGGGACTGCTGGCGGTGGCTCCGCGCCATGGAGAGGCAGTGGGGGGTGGCTCCAGTGCAAGTGGGGGCGAACGTGCAAGATGGGGCACAAGTACAGGGCGCTGGCGGCGGAGACCGGGGGGGAGGGGGAGCCTCAGGGGAAGTTGGAAGTGGGGAGCTGGGAGCAGAGAGGTTGGGGAGGGGAGGGGGAACGCGAGGGCGAGAAGGGGGGAGGAGAGGGGGGTGCGTACGGGAAGCACGTGTTGCTTCCAGAGGACATATATGATGTGATGCTGGGGGCGTGCGTGCAGGTGAGAGCGTGGGAAGTGAACGGGGGCCCTGGGGAAGCGGGAAAGTGGGGAGGGGTGGTAGTTGCGTACGGGAAGCACGTGTTGCTTCCAGAGGACATATATGACGTGATGCTGGGGGCGTGTGTGCAGGTGAGGATGCAAGAAGGGAAGGGGGGGAAATGGTAAGGGGAAGGGGGAAAAAGGGGGAAGCACGTGTTGCTTCCAGAGGATATCTACGACGTGATGCTGGAGGCATGTTATCAGGTGAGAGGGCGGAGGAGGGGAATGTATGTGGGTGGGAAGGAGGGAGGGGAGGAAGGAGAGGAGTGGTAATTGTGTAATTTGTGACTGCGTGGTGGAAGGAGGGGGCAGTGAGAGCTTATACTGGAATTGCTGTTGAGATTCCAAGAAACTTCATGGTTGGACAGAAAACGAGGGTACATGAGCCTGTACTCCTTCCTATCTGCGCAGCCCTAGTAAGCTCTCTAATCTCCTTTCGTCCCGCCTGTTCCCCTTCTCCTTCACATTGCTCATCTTCCTGCCCCCCCCACCTCTTCCCCCCAGTGCGAGGACTGGAAGGGAGCGGTTGCCATCTACCACCACCTCTCAGCATACGGGGCTGCAGCAGCAGCAGCAGCATCAGCAGCAGCAGCAGCAGCAGCATCAGCAGCAGCAGCAGCTGTAGCAGAAGCAGCCGCATTGTCTCACGCGCACCATCGTCATCATCAGCAGCATGGGCAGCAGCGCATGCCAACGAGCAGTCAGTTCGCGTTGGTGCTGAGAGCATGCGCGCGAGCAGGCAGGTGGCAACTCGCCAGAGATCTGCTGCTTGCTGCTGACGATGTTTTTGTTGCTTCCCTTGTTGCTGCTGCTGCTGTTGGTGATGGTGGTGATGGAGCTGCTGCTGCTGGTGGTTCTGGTTCCTCTCGTTCTGGTCCTGGTTATTCCGCTAGTGCTGCTGCTGATGGTGCTAGTGCTGCTGCCAATGCCGTTCCTGGTTCTAGTCTTGGTCCTGCCACTGGTGGCGGCACTGATGTCAGTGCTGGTGGTGGTGGTTATGGTGGTGGTGTTCGTGCTGCTGCCTCTCCTCCTCCCCCTCTTTCCGCACACCACCCTCCCCTTGCCACCTCATCTGCCATGTTCACTGACGTCATCACAGCCTGTGCCAGGTCAGCACAACCGGCTCCAGCTCTCCGTCTGCTCGACCGTCTCGATTCCCACCCTTCCCCTGATCTCTATGCTGACGTGGCAGCCTACACTGCTGCCATCTCAGCATGTGCGAGCGTTGGCCAATGGGAGAACGCCATCCGTTTGCTGACTAGGATGCAGCAGCAGCCAATTGGAAAAGAGATGGGCAGGACTGGGAAAGCCTCTTCCGTGCCTCGAGGTGTTGAGGTTCAGCCGAAGCTGGAGGTTCGGGGAAAGCTGGAGGTTCGGGGAAAGCCGGCAGTTCGGTCCGAACGTGGTGACGTGGACGGCGGGTGATGTCAGCATGTGCGATGGCAGGGCGTGCTGACGTGGCAAGGGAAGTTTTGAGAAGGATGATGCGAGAAGGGAAGGGTGACGAGGGTCAGGGGAAAGGGGAGGGTGAGAGAAAAGGGGAGGGTGAGGGGGAGGAGGAGAAGGTAGTGAGCGGGCGAAGTAAAGAG